TCTCTCTCTCTCTCTCTCTCTCTCTCTCTCTCTCTCTCTCTCTCTCTCTCTCTCTCTCTCTCTCTCTCTCTTACTGTCGTGTGAGAGCGACTCTGTCCTCTTTCCTCACAGCGCTTTGCCCATTGCCGTGTCCTACCTCAGCGGTATGATCTGTGTACAGCTCGTGACGGCGACTCGAGTCTATGCTGACGGAGGCATCATGATCACCGCCGTCCAATTACGGATGGACTCTGTTCCGTGCTCGATTCCGGCCTCGATACGAAGCGCGCAGGTTCACAAGCATCCATGTCGCGTAGTGGCATTGTTTCGTCATGCTCCTTGCAGAACGACGAAATTAACACCTGAATAGACACGATAAAACAGGACAAGAAAGGATATAAATGGTAAGAAAGGATAAGACAGGACAACTTAAGATGATCGCAGACACGATAGTAAGAAAGAAAGAAAGACACAGAGAGTGGAAAGAAAGAGAAGACCAAGAAGAAAGAAAAAAAGAAAGAAAGAAGGGGTGGATGGAGCTGAAAACCTTTCTGGTTTTCCACACCCAAGCCTCTCCTCCTTGGGAAGAAGGGCCTAGGGAAAATGGTTCTGTCATAAATGCAGCGCCCAATTCATAATCCCGCAGGAAGATGCCGAGCCAGAAGCCAATCTCGTCGGCCAGATTTCTGCATCCTATGAGAGAGAGAGAGAGAGAGAGAGAGAGAGAGAGAGAGAGAGAGAGAGAGAGAGAGAGAGACACGCTCTTGAAGGTGGTAAGTTTCCTCCACCTCTGCTTCTTCTTCTTTTTCTTCTTCTTCTCCTTCTTCTTCTTCTTCTTCTTCTTCTTCTTCTTCTTCTTCTTCTTCTTCTTATTTTTGATCCGTCTTCTTCTTTGTCCTTTCTTGAAGTTTCTTCTTCTCTTCTTCATCTTCATCTTCTTCTATTTCTTCTTCTTCTTCTTGTTATTTCGTCGTTTTTTTTTTGTCATGCTTTCTTCTTCTTCTTCTTCTTCTTCTTCTTCTTCTTGTTCTTCTTCTTCTTCTTCTTCTTCTTCTTCTTCTTCTTCTTCTTCTTCTTCCTCTTCTTCTTCCTCTTCCTCTTCCTCTTCTTCTTCTTCTTCAGAGTTCGTCTTCTTCTTCCTATTCTCCTTCTTCTCCTTCTTCTTCTTCTTCTAACTCTTCTTCTTCTCAGTTCTTCTATTTCTAGGTCTTCTTCTTCTTACTCTTCTTCTTCTTACTCTTCTTCTTCTTCTTCTTCTTCTTCTTCTTCTTCTTCGACTTCTTGTGTGTGTGAGTGAGAGAGAGAGAGAGAGAGAGAGAGAGGACTGTTCAGAGAGAGAGAGAGAGAGAGAGAGAGAGAG